AGCTGCAAAGCCCCTTGGCATTTTTCCTATTTTGTTGCCATACAACCTGGAATTAAAATGGATTTTTTGGGGGTTTGTATCATTTGATTTACACAACATGCCTACCACTTTGAAGATACAATATATGTTTTATTGTGAAACAAACAAGGAATAAGACAAAAAAACAGAAAACTTGAGCGTGCATAACTATTCACCCCCCCCAAAGTCAATAATTTGTAGAGCCACCTTTTGCAGCAAGTCTCTTGGGGTGTCTCTATAAGCTTGGCACATCTAGCCACTTTTTGCCCATTCTTCAAGGCAAATCTGCTCCAGCTCCTTCAAGTTGGATGGGTTCCACTGGAGTACAGCAATCTTTAGGTCATACCACAGATTCTCAATTGGATTGAGGTCTGGGCTTTGACTAGGCCATTCCAATACATTTAAATGTTTCCCCTTAAACCACTCAAGTGTTGCTTTAGCAGTATGCTTAGGGTCATTGTCCTGCTGGAAGGTGAACCTCTGTCCCAGTCTCAAATCTCTGGAAGACTGAAACAGGTTTCCCTCAAGAATTTCCCTGTATTTAGCGCTATCCATCATTCCTCAATTCTGACCAGTTTCCCAGTCCCTGCCAATGAAAAACATCCCCACAGCATGATGCTGCCACCACCATGCTTCACTGTGGGGATGGTGTTCTCGGGGTGATGAGAGTTGTTGGGTTTGCGCCAGACATAGCGTTTTCCTTGATGGCCAAAAAGTTCCATTTTAGTCTCATCTGACCAGAGTACCTTCTTCCATATGTTTGGGGGGTCTCCCACATGGCTTTTGGCGAACACCAAACGTGTTTGCTTATTTTTGTCTTTAAGTGTCTGGCCACTCTTCCGTAAAGCCCAGCTCTGTAGAGTGCACAGATTAAAGTGGTCCTATGGACAGATACTCCAATCTCTGCTGTGGAGCTTTGCAGCTCCTTAAGGGTTATCTTCAGTCTTTTTGTTGCCTCTCTGATTAATGCCTTACTCGCCTGGTCTGTGAATTTTGGTGGGCGGCCCCCCCCTTGTTGTGGTGCCATATTCTTTCAATTTTTTTATAATGGATTTAATGGTGCTCCGTGGGATGTTCAAAGTTTCTGATATTTTTTTATAACCCAACCCTGATCTGTACTTCTCCACAACTTTGTCCCTGACCTGTTTGGAGAGCTCCTTGGTCTTTATGGTGCCGCTTGCTTGGTGGTGCCCCCTGCTTAGTGGTGTTGCAGACTCTGGGGCCTTTCAGAACAGGTGAATATATACTGAGATCATGTGACAGATCATGTGACACTTAGATTGCACACAGGTGGACTTTATTTAACTAATTATGTGACTTCTGAAGGTAACTGGTTGCAACAGATCTTATTTACGGGCTTCATAGCAAAGGGGGTGAATACATATGCACACACATCTTTTCCGTTATTTATTTTTTACAATTTTTTGAAATAAGTAATTTTTTTCATTTCACATCACCAATTTGGAATATTTTGTGTATGTCCATTACATGAAATCCAACTAAAAATCCATTTAAATGACAGGTTGTAATGCAACAAAATAGGAAAAACGCCAAGGGGGATGAATACTTTTGCAAGGCACTGTACATAGGGCAGCAGCCTCTACGGTGCAGGGTTGAGTAACCAGGTGGTAGCCGGCTAGTGACAGTTACTAAGTTCAGGGCAGGGTACTGGGTGGAGGCCGGCTAGTGATGGCTATTTAACAGGCCTTGAGATAGATGCTGTTTTTCAGTCTCTCGGTCCCAGCTTTGATGCTCCTGTACTGACCTTGCCTTCTGGATGATAGCAAGGTGAACAGGCCATGGCTCCGATGGTTGACGTCTTTGATTATCTTTTTGGCCTTCCTTTGACATCGGGTGCTGTAGGTGTCCTGGAGGGCAGGCAGTGTGCCCCCGGTGATGCGTTGGGCAGACCGCACCACCCAGTGGAGAGCCCTGTGGTTGGGGGCGATGCAGTTCCCTGTACCAGGTGGTGATACAGCCCGACAGAATGCATCTGTAAAAGTATGTGAGGGTCTTTGGAGCCAAGATGGATTTCTTCAGCCTCCTGAGGTTGAAGAGGTACTGTTGCACCTTCTTCACCACACTGTCTGTGTGTGGGTGCACCATTTCAGATTGTCAGTGATGTGCACGCCGAGGAACTTGAAGCTTTTCACCTTCTCCACTGCGGCCCCGTCGATGTGAATGGGGGTGTGCTCCCTCTGCTGTCGACAGGTACAGTGCCTTCAGAAAGTATTCACAGCCATTTACTTTTTTCACATTTTGTTGTGTTTGGTACAGACTGAATTTTAAATGGTTTAATTGAGATTTTGTGTTACTGGCCTACACACAATACCCCATCATGTCAAAGTTTTTAGAAACTTTTACAAAGTCATAAAAAATGAAAAGCTGAAATGTCTTGAGTCCATAAGTATTCAATCCCTTTGTTATGGCAAGCCTAAATAAGTTCAGGAGTAAAAATTTGCTTAACAAGTCACATAATAAGCTTCATGGACTCACACTGTGTGCAATAATAGTATTTAACATGATTTTTGAATGACTACTTAATCTGTGTACCCTACTCATACAATTATCTGTAAGGTCCCTTAGTCGAGCAGTGAATTTCAAACACAGATTCAACAACAAAGACCAGATAGGTTTTCCAATGCCTCGCAAAGAAGGGCACCTATTGACAGATGGATAAAAATAAATGTAAAAAGCAGACATTGAATATCCCTTTGAGAATGGTGAAGTTATTCATTACACTTTGGATGGTGTATCTATACACCCATTCACTACAAAGATACAGGCGTCTTTCCTAACTTAGTTGCCGGGGAAGAAGGAAACCTTTCTGGGATTTCACCATCAGGCCAATAGTGATTTTAAAACAGTTACTGAGTTTAATGGCTGTGATAGGAGAAAATTGAGGATGGATCAAAAACATTGTAGTTACTCCAAAAATACTAACCCAAATGGCAGAGTGAACTGTACAGATATTCCAAAACATGCAAACTGCAAATAAATTGGCTAAGAAATTAAATGTATGTCCTGAATACAAGGTGTTATGCTTGTGGCAAATCCAACACAACACATCACTGAGTCCCACTCTTCATATTTTCAAGCATGGTGGTGGCTACATCATGTTATGGGTATGCTTGTCATTGGTAAGGACTAGGGAGTTTAAAAAAAACAAAAAAAAAAAACAGAATAGAGCTAAGCACAGGCTAAATCCTAGAGGAAAACGTGGTTCAGTCTGCTTTTCCAACAGACACTGGAAGACAAATTCACCTTTCAGCAGGACAATAACCTAAAACACAAGGCCAAATATACACTGGAGATGCTTACCAAGACGACATTGAATGTTCCTGATTGGCCTAGTTACAGTTTTGACTTAAATCGGCTTGAAAATCTATGGCAAGACTTGAAAATGGCTGTCTAGCAATGATCAACAACCAACTTGACAGAGCTTGAAGAATTTTAAAAATAATAATGTGCAAATATTGTACAATCCAGCTGTGCAAAGCTCTTAGAGACTTACCCAGAAAGACTCACAGCTGTAATCACTGCCAAATGTTATTCTAACATGTATTGACTCAGGGGTGTGAATACCTATGTAAATAAGATACTTTTGTATTTCATTTTCAATACATTTGCAAAAAATTCTAAAAACATATTTTCACTTTGTTATTATGAGGTATTGTGTGTAGATCGGTGAGCATTGTTTAATTTGTTTTAATCCATTTTGAATTCAAGCTGTAACACAACAAAATATGGAATAAGTCAAGGGGTCTGAATACTTTCTGAAGGCACTGTATATATTACCACTGGTATATTACCATACATATTTATATATTCCTGCTACCAGTCACTTTCCAGCCCTGTTTACATATATATCTGCCTATCACACCTATATTGCCACTATTGTTCACATACTCACTCACACACTCAAACTAACACCTAGACGCTTACACCAGTCTTAATAGAGTTGCACAGTATGTTAAATGAAATCCTAATTCAAACTGTCATGTTCCATTGATTAACAGTAGGGGCATTCATCCTCTCCCTTTTGCCCGCTCTCCCAATGTTTCTTCTGTGATGTCACAACAAGGAAAGCCTGGCACCAGTTTTGTTCCAGAGCATGTCTCTATTTTCACAATGATTTCATCAGTAACCGTCAATGATTAACAAATATACTGAAATGGAAGTGGCAGATATCTATATTATAATTGTCATGAACTGACGGTCTACAACTTTTTATCCTCCTGGACCACATGTTCAAGCCTATACTGTACCTGCAGGCCTCCTTACCTGCCCTGCCCCACTAATAGCAGGATTCCCTGCTATATCGCTACACTAAACAAATTAGCCTGGTGGATCAGTGGTCAATTAAACCAGCATCTATTGTAAGTGAGGAGGGGAGGACACGGTGAGTGTTGTGTTGGCAGGAGGGAGGGAGCTTGGGGATTGAGCAGAGGCAAAGAATTGAATGACCTCTAGTGGCTCCGAATTGTTGTTGCACCCTCAAAGTTCACATCACTACGTCACCTGCATTCATCTTAGCTTCTTCTATGTCTCCTATGTTTTTCTCAGCTTCTTCTATGCCTATCCTATGAAAAACATGTACTATGTACGGCTGCCCCACTGTCCAGAAGTCCCTGTTACTAGTTGTAAAGGGCTGACCGGTTGCAAGCAGGGAAAATGTAAACACCAGATCATTTGAGTGTACATTTCAGGATTTCAACATTTCTTTCCAACCTTCCCAGTCGTATCATACTGACTACAGAAAGACAATCGGTCTCTAGTTGTGTAATCACTTTATTTTTGCAACACTTTGAAATACAGTGTACACTAAGTTTCACTACCATGTACCTGTCTATTAGCAAAACATTTGGGCAAAATTATTTTTGAGAATATTAAATTTCTACCAAAAGCAGTAATTAAGTGCAATATATTTGTTTGGAATGTGGTCCTTTCAGTTTGGCTAGTAATCTCATTTTATTTTTGATTCAGTGCTCCTTGGGGAGTCCTTTGGGTCTGTAGTGGTTGGGGTCACCTCCATTGCGTCCCCAGTGGTTAGCCACCTGGTCAGCTGCTGAGTCCTCGTGTCCTCGACCACTGGAACCCTGAAACCTCTCCCGGGCATCACTGAGAGAGGATAAATATTACATAAGTTACTCGTCAACGACAGTGAACGAATAATGGTAAAATTGTCTCTCTGACCAGACACTTTTTTAAACAAAAAGTGTCATAAAGAACTAAATAGAGAAAGGAGAAAGTTTTTGTGAGATCAGTTGATGACCAACTGAACCACATTATAAGCGTCTCTCAGATATTTGAGAATCACCCACCTGATGACTTCTGCTGCCCACCTGCCCCCTGGTCCTCTCCTGGCAGCATCATAGTTGCCCCGGGCGTGGAAGTACTTGTCTGAGTGTTTCCAGTTGGAGTCCCTCATGTCGTCGTATGCACGCCACATGTCTATAGCACCTGCAGGGTCAGGAGTACACGGATGTTGAGTGTGACACTTACAAAGAACATTACAACTTTTCAAACCACTAGCCTCAAGAAATAACAATGACTTTAAAGGAGTCATCAAATGTTTCTCTTGATTTCTGTATCTATTTCTGTCAACAATGAAGAAACAATGATTAAAGTGTAAAAACGGACCATGAGCAGCTTCACCAGGGAAGCGGTACCACTGGGCCTGAGCCCCCACAACAAGGGTCAGAACAAGTCCAGCTAGAAGCACCTTCATACCTGCAGATGTGACAGACTGAAAGAAACATGGAAAGAGTGAGAGAGAACGTAGGCTACAATATGAATTGCTAACATATTTACAGATCATTTATCTGACTTAAACTGCGACTGCATCATATTACAGAGTCATCTCTTACCTTACAGCTCCTTAGTTAGTTAGTCAGTCAGGCAGTTTGAACTCCCTCGTGTTTTGTGTTGGTTTGTGGTCCGCAGCTTGTTCTTATATTCCACCCAGACCAGGGAGGAGTTGAGTTTTCCAACAGCTGGAATTCCCTAACTTCGTCCTACCAGGCTATTACGATCAGAAGTCTCTGCCCGGTACACAAGATCAGGAATTTCCAGGTCATGACAAGATGAATTAGAGAACCTGCTCTGAAGCCTTAGGCAATAAGGAAAATACTCCTCAATTGTGTAACTAGGCCTACTGCTTAAAAAACCAAGGCATCAAAATGTGATGTGTCAGCATTAATAAGACTGTGTATAAATAATTCAATCTAATGGGGGAAATGCAGTTTGTTTTTCAACTTTTAAAGTCGTAATTGTCATGATGGATGAGGTTCCAAAAGTTTGCCTCTCACCTGATATGAGAGAATCATTCCTTATGATATGATTCATTATAGACTACTATAGTACGGTAGACTACAGGTATTTAATAGACATAGACATGAAAGGCAATTTGCATGTCCACATCTGACGGATTGCACCTTTATTTTACAGATTACACAACTACTGCTCCCCTCACACCTATGCTGCTGTTAATTGATTATTGATTGCCATTACCATTAGTATCTATCTATTTATCCTGCTACTGGTCACTATTACTCTTGTTTACAAATCAAATTTAAATCAAATTGTATTGGTCGCATACACATATTTAGCAGATGTTATTGTGGGTGTAGCAAAATGCTTGTATTCCTAGCTACAGCAGTGCAGTAATATCTAACAATTCACAACAACACACATAGATCTAAAAGTAAAAGATTGGAAATAAGAAATATATAAATATTACGACAAGCAATGTCGGAGTCCGGAGTATGTATATATATATATATATATATATATATATATATATATATATATATATATATGTGATGGGATGTATAGACATTATTGACAGTATGTGGATTGAATATTTAGTATATCTGTAGAATACGTAGGACAATAGTATATATACAGCAATAGTTGAATGGGACGTCATTGACTTGTACATACATATGAAATGAGTAAAACAGTATGTAAACATTATTAAAGTAACCAGTTTTCCATTATTAAAGTGACCAGTGACTCCATGTCTATGTACATAGGGCAGCAGCCTCTAAGGTGCAGGTTTGAGTAACCGGGTGGTAGCCGGCTAGTGACGGTTACTAAGTTCAGGGCAGGGTACTGGGTGGAGGCCGGCTAGTGATGGCTATTTAACAGTCGGATGGCTTTGAGATAGAAGCAGTTTTTCAGTCTCTCGGGCCCAGCTTTGATGCACCTGTACTGACCTTGCCTTCTGGATGATAGCAAGGTGAACAGGCCATGGCTCGGATGGTTGACGTCTTTGATGATCTTTTTGACCTTCCTTTGACATCGGGTGCTGTAGGTGTCCTGGAGGGCAGGCAGTGTGACCCTGGTGATGCGTTGGGCAGACCGCACAACCCTGTGGAGAGCCCTGCGGTTGCGGCCGATGCAGTTCCCTGTACCAGGCGGTGATACAGCCCGACAGGATGCTCTCAATGGTGCATCTGTAAAAGTATGTGAGGGTCTTAGGAGCCAATATGGATTTCTTCAGCCTCCTGAGGTTGAAGAGGTACTGTTGCACCTTCTTCACCACACTGTCTGTGTGTGGGTGGACCATTTAAGATTGTCAGTGATGTGCACGCTGAGGAACTTTCTTCTCCACTGCGGCCCCGTCGGTGTGGATGGGGGTGTGCTCCCTCTGCTGTCGACCGGTACAGTGCCTTCAGAAAGTATTCACAGCCATTTACTTTTTTCACATTTTGTTGTGTGTGTTACAGACTGAATTTTAAATGGTTTAATTGAGATTTTGTGTCACTGGCCTACACACGATACCCCATAATGTCAACGTTTTTTTAGAAACTTTTACAAAGTAATTAAAAATGAAAAGCTGAAATGTCTTGAGTCAATAAGTTTTCAATCCCTTTGTTATGGTTCAGGAGTAAAAATGTGCTTAACAAGTCAATCAATCAATCAATCAATTTTATTTTATATAGCCCTTCTTACATCAGCTAATATCTCGAAGTGCTGTACAGAAACCCAGCCTAAAACCCCAAACAGCTAGTAATGCAGGTGTAGAAGCACGGTGGCTAGGAAAAACTCCCTAGAAAGGCGAAAACCTAGGAAGAAACCTAGAGAGGAACCAGGCTATGAGGGGTGGCCAGTCCTCTTCTGGCTGTGCCGGGTGAAGATTATAACAGAACCATGCCAAGATGTTCAAAAATGTTCATAAGTGACAAGCATGGTCAAATAATAATCAGGAATAAATCTCAGTTGGCTTTTCATAGCCGATCATTAAGAGTTGAAAACAGCAGGTCTGGGACAGGTAGGGGTTCCATAACCGCAGGCAGAACAGTTGAAACTGGAATAGCAGCAAGGCCAGGCGGACTGGGGACAGCAAGGAGTCACCACGGCCGGTAGTCCCGACGTATGGTCCTAGGGCTCAGGTCTCTCAGTTGGCTTTTCATAGCCGATCATTAAAGAGTTGAAAACAGCAGGTCTGGGACAGGTAGGGGTTTCGTAGCCGCAGGCAGAACAGTTGAAACTGGAATAGCAGCAGGGCCAGGCGGACTGGGGACAGCAAGGTGTCATCATGCCCGGTAGTCCTGACGTATGGTCCTAGGGCTCAGGTTCTCAGAGAGAAAGAGAGAACGAGAGAATTAGAGAGAGCATACTTAAATTCACACAGGACACTGGATAAGACAGGAGAAGTACTCCAGGTATAACCAACTAACCCCAGCCCCCCGACACATAAACTACTGCAGCATAAATACTGGAGGCTGAGACAGGAGCGGTCCGGAGACACTGTGGCCCCATCCGAAGAAACCCCCGGACAGGGCCAAACAGGAAGGATATAACCCCACCCACTCCGCCAAAGCACAGCCCCCGCACCACTAGAGGGATATCCCCAACCACCAACTTACAATCCTGAGACAAGGCCGAGTATAGCCCACAGAGGTCTCCACCACAGCACAAACCAAGGGGGGGGCGCCAACCCAGACAGGAAGATCACGTCAGTAACTCAACCCACTCAAGTGACGCACCCCTCCCAGGGACGGCATGAAAGAGCACCAGCAAGCCAGTGACTCAGTCACATAATAAGCTATCTCTTTGAGAATGGTGAAGTTATTAATTACACTTTGGATGGTGTATCTATACACCCAGTCACTACAAAGATACAGGCGTCTTTCCTAACTCAGTTGCCGGAGAAGAAGGAAACCGCTCTGGGATTTCACCATGAGGCCAATGGTGACTTTAAAGTTTAATGGCTGTGATAGAAGAAAACTGAGGATGGATCAAAAACATTGTAGTTACTCTAAAAATACTAACCTAAATGACAGAGTGAAAGAAGGAAGTCTGTACAGAATAAAAAATATTCCAAGACATGCATCCTGTTTGCAATAAGGCACTAAAGTAAAACAGCAAAAATGATGACAAAGAAACTAGATTTATGACCTGAATTCAAAGTGTTATGCTTGGGGCAAATCCAATACAACACATCACTGAGTACCACTCTTCATATTTTCAAGCATGGTGGTGGCTTTATCAAGTTATGGGTAAGCTTGTCATTGGCAAGGACTAGGGAGTTTTTTAGGATAAATAAAATGGAATAGAGCTAAGCACAAGCTAAATCCCAGAGGAAAACTTGGTTCAGTCTGCTTTCCAACTGACACCGGGAGACAAATTCACCTTTCAGCAGGACAATAACCTAAAACACAAGGCCAAATATACACTGGAGTTCCTTACCATGACGACATTGAATGTTCCTGAGTGGCCTAGTTAAGCTTTGACTTAAATTGGCTTGAAGATCTATGGCAAGACTTGAAAATGGCTGTCTAGCAATGATCAACAACCAACTTGACAGAGCTTGAAGAATTTTTAAAAGAATAATGTGCAAATATTGTACAATCCAGGTGTGCAAAGCTCATAGAGACTTACCCAAAGGTTAATATAATATGTATTGACTCAGGGGTGTGAATGTAAATTAAATTTTCAATACATTTGCAAAAATGTCTAAAAACATGTTTTCACTTTGTCATTATGGGGTAATGTTTGTAGATGGATGACAACAACAAAAAATATATTGAATTCAGGCTGTAACACAGCAAAATAAGTCAAGGGGTATGAATACTACCTGAAGGCACTGTATATATTACCACTGGTATATTACCATAAGTATTTATATATTCCTGCCACCAGTCATTTTCCAGCCCTGTTTACATGTATACTGAACAAAAATATAAACACAACATGTACAGTGAGGGAAAAAAGTATTTGATCCCCTGCTGATTTTGTACGTTTGCCCACTTACAAAGACATGATCAGTCTATAATTTTAATGGTAGGTTTATTTGAACAGTGAGAGACAGAATAACAACAACAAAAATCCAGTAAAACGCATGTCAAAACTGTTATGAATTGATTTGCATTTTAATGAGGGAAATAAGTATTTGACCCCTCTGCAAAACATGACTTAGTACTTGGTGACAAAACCCTTGTTGGCAATCACAGAGGTCAGATGTTTTTTGTAGTTGGCCACCAGGTTTGTACACATCTCCAGAGGGATTTTGTTCCACTCCTCTTTGCAGATCTTCTCCAAGTCATTAAGGTTTCGAGGCTGACGTTTGGCAACTCGAACCTTCAGCTCCCTCCACAGATTTACTATGGTATTAAGGTCTGGAGACTGGCTAGGCCACTCCAGGACCTTAATGTGCTTCTTCTTGAGCCACTCCTTTGTTGCCTTGGCCGTGTGTTTTGGGTCATTGTCATGCTGGAATACCCATCCACGACCCGATTT